TTTTTTTTATGTACACATTTCTAAATGTCAGTATTCAACCACAAAACAACTTAAAGTCCTTAAATTTAGCATGAAGTTGTAAAATGTAATGAAAGAGGGTCATAGCAATAATGTAAGTGGAAGTAAAGTTAGTACTGTAAAATTAAAATAATATTTTTAATCAATGAGCCAAGTTCTTCAAGAAGCAGTCGTAGAAGTAGGTTTTTTATTTAAAACTGTTTATAGAATTTCCTTAAGAACACAATTGTTAATTTGGGCATTTGGCGATACAACACTTTTAGAACTGAAGGATTTGTTACGTCAAGCGCTCAGGTATCATAATTTAGATCTAGTTGCGCTTCTATGTCATTTTGATTTATGTTGCTAAGTTAACTTTAAAAAATTCTATGGCTGGCAACAGCATTTTTATTTTATAAGTTGTTTATTTTTATTTCTTTTAGAATTCGTTATTTTTTTAGCGAAATATTTTTAACCTAACAGAATTCTTTGCTGACTGTTTTCTCTATGAATGAAGAAAATAAAGTAAATATTTAAGTGTTATGAAAATAATCTTATTTAGTTGTACAAAGTACTTAAGCCAAAATTTGGGAGCCACGTAAAAGAATTATATATATTAGATCAGAAACACATCATTAAAAGGCAGAATACTTTGGCGTTTTCAAAACAAAGCAAACGTTGCCACCGGCGGAAAAGAAATACAGCCAAAATTTGGGAGCCACGTAACTAACCATATTAGAAAGACAGACCATATTAGAAACTCAAAGAAAAAAGTAAAGCAGGGTCCTTAAAAAATTTTATAAAGTGGGGACAATCATGTAAAACAAAAGCTATATATTTCTTTCTCAAAGCTTTTACTTTTAAAGTAAAAATACGATTTCACAATTTTTGCAATTAGATACTTTTAGTTCGAAAAATTACGCAAGAAGGGGAATATGAACTAATTAAAATACATTTTATTTTAGTATTTATCCAACCACCGTTTTTACTTTTTTAAAGACAGTAAGAACCCCGTTGAACCATGTAAAAAACCATCTTGCACATTTTATGCCTAAGTACCGTTAACCGTTTACTTGCCGAACTCTTATACACTCTCAAGATGGGGACTATAAACTAATTAAAATACTTTTTTTTTCATATTTATCCAACCGCCTTTTTTACGTTTTTTAGGACAGTAAAAACCCCATAGAACAATGTAAAAAGCAATCTTACACACATAACTATAGTTAACCGTTTACTTGCCGATATCTTATATACCCTTAAAATGGAGAATATGAACTAATTAAAATACATTTAATTTTCATATCTACCCAACCACCTTTATTACTTTTTTAAGTAACCCGCTGTAAAAAAACATGAAAGTTTTCAACTCTTTTGGTAAAAATGTATTCCAGTGTTTCATAAGTTTATACTTTAGTAGTTAGCCGACCAGATTATGTTTAAGTATCATTAACCAATTACGGAGTTGCCCATTTTCAACTTTTTTGTAAAATTTTATTCAAGTGGGAGCTAAATTTATGTTTCAATGTATTATTTTTTGTTCGTTTAAACTTATTTTCCACACTACTACTTATAGTAAATGATTTAAAAGTTCATATACAACGTTCTAGTTCGTGGTGGAGCTTTTTAAATGTTAGCAAAACTACCAAAAATTCTGAAAGGTCCATGGGTTTTAAATGTCTACCACTGCATAAAATATTTTGCTAAAAGAGTAGTAGCTCGTCGTTTACTTGACGAACTGTTATATTGCAGTAAAGTGCCTCAAAGATAAAAAATGGTAGCTGGTTTGTATGTATATTAAATGGAAATTTTCCTCTGTTATCTCAATTTCAGAGAAGAAAAAAAAGCGTTTTAGTATATATCATTTATGTATTTTAGTTGATAGGAATATCAAATTTTTCCAACTGTAGGTGGTAAGAATGAAAAATTTAAATCCTCAGTCCTCTGTGGCGTTGCGGTCTGAAATGCCAAGTCCGAACTACGAATCTCTGACGTTGGACTACGTCGCTTGCAGCCGATAATTGACGTAAACCTCATACCTGAATGGAGATATGCGTGAAGGGCGAAATCAGCAAAACGAGCACAGTATGTTTTGGATATAACTTGGCCGCCTCCCCACAGCTTGCTCTCTCTCCCCGTCGGTTCTAGCTAGCAGTCCGGCATGTTCTCACCGGTTACCTTTTCGCAGTTTTTTTCTATGCTGCTTCAATGTTAAAGTGGTTGAGTTTTATATATGTTAGAACGTTTTAGTTAAATTTACAAGTTTCCTAAATGTTAATAAAGATAGTTATTTATTTAAGCTTAGTGTTATTTATGAAGAAACCTATAATCCATTCTCGGTAACATTTTCATGTGGAAGGTTTTTCTAGAGTTAGATTTCCTTTTAGAGTTTAAGTGGGGACTCTAACAAAGATACCAAACATACCACACCTTAATAGTTTAAAAAAGAGACATGTTCCGAAAAATAGGAAACATTTGCATTTAAACAGTTAAAAAAAATATTTTTACCTGTGTCAGTCCTTCTTTGCAATGTTCAATAGGATTAAACATCGTTTTGTTAGTTTCACAAATAAAACTATGTACAATATCACATTTCTTACTAATCACCAAGTTATTCTAAAATTTAAAAACAATACACCAGAATTTAAATTTATATCCCATAAAAGCAATTTTTCAAACAAGAAAAAGTTTCAGTCAATCTTGTAATACCTAATAAGTATTTTTTTTTTTTAAATATTCTTAGCACACATGGTAGAGATTACTAATATTCATTTTAAATTTTACTTCATTCAAAACTTCATGTACGAAAAATAAAAAATTGACCACGTAGATTAACTTTTGATCTAATGATCAAATCTTCACATTCTAGGAGTCTATCCTCATGGTTCAAGGGGGTAATTTCAAATATGCTAAAAAATTAGTGCAGGCGATATCTTAAGTTTCGAAATCAGACATATAAACGTACTTTCTCTGAATATCCATTTCTTCTTTAGATGAACAAAATTCTAATTTCGATGAACGAATTTTATAATTTTCGCCAAAAATTTTACAATTCGCTAAAAAAAATTCTTGAGATAAGCCGAATTCTTGAGCAAAAGTAAAATACCAAACTTTGAACCGTTCTCCAGACCAAACTATTGGAACCATATTTCCTAGATTGTGGCTACCTCTTAAGTTTCGGGAGTCAGAAATCCAAATCCATCGTAAAAACTACATGTTTATTCAGAGAAAGTACGTTTTCGTGTCTGATTTTGTAACTTTAAATAACTTATAATAAGCATATTTGACGTCATTCCCTTAATAAACCATTATGATTGAGTCTTAAAATGCGAAGATCTGATGATTAGATCAAAAGAAATTAAGGTCCGTTTATTTTTTAAGCAATGCACACCCTCAAATTGCTATGATATTTCCGATGAATCAGAAAATAATTTTCTTTGTCGTAAAAAAAATATTGTATATTCATATTTTCATTCCCTATGAGACCTGAGCTTTAAATATTGGCAAAAAAGGAGATTTTTTTTTCCGTAGAAATTTGCAACTTAGTATCATATGATAGAGAGAAAAAAAAAATTAAATATTCAATACTTCATTCAATAACAGTAAAATTCCAAAAAAAATTATTTTTTGAAAAAAAAATATCTATTAATTTATTACTTCGTTTTTTTAGTTATTTTTAATTATTGCATAAAAAATGATACATTTTAGCATCTTTTTGCAGGTTTTAGGATATTTTTGTAGTGTATACATAATAGTCATGATACAAAATCTACTAGATTCAAATAATTCGAACTTTGTGTACCATAAAACTATCTTAAAGGTTATTTGATTTGAACATTCTATAATTTTTCATTGCAATTAAAAACTCTGACCAATGCGTGTAAATCCACTAATATTTTTGCATAGAAAATCGTGTTGCAAGAACTTTACAAACTGAAAAAAAAATTAACGTTAACTTTTAAGTGACAAAATAGTACGAAATGTTGACCTGTATATTGAATGCCAGTAAAGTCTAGTGCAGCGGTTCCCAATTGGTAATCCACGGAACCCTAGGGTTCCACTGAAAGGTCATAGGGGTTCCGGGAGTTGGAAATATTTTGAACCAATAATGATTTTCGAAGCCCGTAATTAAATTAATAATCCATGACAAATTTAATATTTCCATTATTTTCACGAAATAATTTAATTGAGACGCTTGTGAAGAACGAAATTTCAAAACGATGTTCTTTCCAATAAGGATATAATGAATGAATTACGAAAAGAATATTCGCATTCGTGAAAAATTCCATTACTATTTTCGCTTCAAATAAAAATAAACAAATTCAACAATGCAGAAGTATATTTCTCAAAAAAGCACACTCAACGTTTATTTTCTTCCTTTTTCGTTTTTAGTTTAAAGGAAATCATATTTCAGATCATTCATTTTTCAGTTTATGCATGCACTTAATTCAAATTAAGAACTAGACTATCGATGTCGTTCCAGACCTATGCAAATCAACTGTCCCAAATAAAAATTAATTTTAAAACTAAAATTGATTAAACGATAGGATGAAAAAATTACATTCACTAAATAATTTATAAAATTTATATCATTTCATGTTTTTATTAATAATTATTAGTCTATCGTTAATTAATGTGTTTAGAATTGCTGATGAAATGTATTCATAAACTCTTGGGGTTCCGTCAAAATAATGTCAATGATTAAGGGTTCCGCAACCGAAAATAATTGGGAACCACTGGTCCAGTATACTGCCGTGTATTTTTCATATCACTACATATTTTAAAAATAATTATTGGTCTATTGTTAACTAATGTGTTTAGAATTGCTAATGAAATGTATTCATAAATTCTTGGGGTTCCGTCAGAATAATGTCAATGATTTAGGGTTCCGCAGCCGAAAATAATTGGGAACCACTAGTCCTGTACGCTGCTGTGTATACTTTATATCCTTACATATTTTAAAAATAACTATTAGTCTACCGTAAACTGATGTGTTTAGAATTGCTAATGAAGTATATTCATAAATTCTTGCGGTTCCATCAAAATAATATCGATCATTTAGGGTTCAGCAGCCGAAAATAATTGGAAACCGTTAGTCCAGTATACTGTCGTGCATTTGAAAAAACAAAGTGCTTCACGATTGAGAAGTGAATCGACAACTTTTCTCCTTCTGTTGCTAACTCTAAAATAAAATTTCAAAAAACTGATAATGCGAAATTCATTTTTGAAAAAAAAAATTTTTCAGTATGTAGAAGACAAAGATGCTAACTATATAAAAATCGGAATTTTGAATTTGTTGTCCTTCAGGTTGATTTTTCAATTACACGGCAGTCATAAGGATAAAAATAATTTTAGCTGGTATATATAAGGTCCGAAAGGCAAATGGTCAAACACTAACATTCTAATAATTTGATTTTTAATTGTATTTGTTTTAAAAGTTTATGCGCTACCATTGGAAATAATATTCTTCAAAAATCTTAAATAAAATTTTATATGAATCGTTGATTTTGTATGATTTAAAAAACAGACCGTTGTATCGAAGAGTGAACATTGAGGAGGATATGCTGTTGCCATCAAATCGGAAGAAATCCAACTTTGATTAGCTGCATTCGTTCCATCTTTCCAAATGGATTTGCCTTCCAATTGAGAAATTTCCAAGCCGACCCAGAAATCAGTATCTCTATCTGAAAGGTAAATCGAAATCTTAGTTATCGTCCCTGGTATAAAAATATTTGCTTCACCACTTCGCAATTTTAAAGAATAAAAATAGTTCTTATCCTAACTTTTCAGAACTTGACGTTGTCCCTATATTTTGTAAAATACTCGAGGTGTGGAAGAATACACCCCATAAACTATTTTTTGAATGTGTTTTACTTATAAGAGTATTGACTTCAAATTAGCTGCAATCTGCTTGCGTTGCAAGGCATCCAGTCTAAATTGCATTTAAAGAAAACTTCGTATATCGAAAAGGAAATAATTTACATCACTTTAATGTGATTTTCTGTTGGCCAATTTCACGTTTCGTTATAAATATTTTTGTTCAAGTTATTTCAGATGGACAATATTTTTTGTCTAACCTTTTCTCAGATGTTACAGACGAACGGATTTGAGCAGAGTATACTCGATCTGTTACCATTCTTGTTTCTCTACGATCAGACGAACGGATTTGAGCAGTGTATACTCGATCTGTTACCATTCTTGCTTCACTCTGATGAATGAAATGTAGCATTTAAATGATGTCAGATAGTGGCGGTTTTCTTACTTACAAACCACCTAAAAAAATTGCAAACTGCTTACAAAAAGATTATCCAAATCAGTGCCCTCATTTTCAAGCTATAAGCGAAAATATAAATCCAGACAGACTTTCGCTTTTATTTATGTAAAGATTAATTATTATCGTGTAATTATTCAGCATAAATCCTCATAAAAAACTAATAATTTTTAAACTTTTGAATGAATTTCCATTCTGTAAAGTGCTATGTTTATATCCTGTATAACAGAAAAAATAAAGAATTTTTTTTCACTGATTAGCAGTTATGACTGTTATTAACAGTTAGGAGCATTCTTATTTTTGCGCAAAAACGTACTTTTTCATAATGAATTTTTTTTTTAAAAATTGTACTTTCGTATTTTTTTTTTCGTAATTTCGTACGTAATGGATTTCGTACTTTCGATGATTAAAAAAAAACGAAAGTGCTTTTTAATACATTTTGGAATAGAAAATCTCTAACTTCAAGTTTTATAAAGTCCTACGATTAGCCTCACCATCAGTTTCAAAAATGGTCAGGGGAGTTTCGCTGGTGACAGAATTTTATCACAAAAAAATTGACAAAATCACCTAACTGTCGAAGAACCGAGAGCTAAGATTTATAGATTTATACCCACATAGTATATAGAATAGTTTATCATTCAAATTGCTCAGGTGAAATCAAAGGAATATCACATTACTGCTGTACAATTAAAAAATTAACGTAAGCGATAAAAAAAAAATTCAAAATTGAGATTGTTTTTATATTTGGCATCATGGTAAGCTACTTATTGCAGAAAAAAAAATTAAAAGATAAATTTTGTTTTATCAAATTTTTGAAATTCTATTTTAGCTTTTATAGTATTAACAATAGAAGGAAAATAGTTGTCCAGCCACTTTTCTTGGAATCAATCGGGAAGCCCATACTTTCTTTTTTTTTTTGAATTCATGGCAAATTACTCAGCTAATGTCAACAGAAATCTTCTAGTGACGGTGACGACAAAGTCTATTTTAGGAACTCCCCTTACCATTACTGCAGCAATGTCGGTAACGAGGTTTAATTATTTCAAGTAGGAATGTGGGAGAAATAATTAGGCCTAGCGCTAAGAACTTTTCACTGTTTCAGTAACGGTTGAGATTAGTAAAACTTTGTAACTACAAATCATTTATGTATCCCTTTGTAACTACTTTGTAATCACTTTGTAACTACTTTGTAACCACAAATCATTATGTTTGCCCCTCACCCCTTTTATATGGTGGTCACTAAGAGATGGAGCTCAGACGGTAACAAGATCACTCAAAGGGTCAATGAAAAGGAAGGTAAGAATTGACCGATTTATAAGGAATTGGAATGCAGAAAGCTTTATCTTTCAATTTGTTTTAATTGTGGCGTTAAATTAACAAGGACCGATGAGAAAAGTATGGAAAGTTCCCATTTCTGAAATGTGCTGTACTGACTCTGTGCAACCCCAGAATCAGTGGTATGAGAATTTTATATGGACAGGTTATGGAAATCTTAATTTGTTTTGAATTTAGAACTCGTGCCAAGATGTGTAGAAAGAGATATAAGCTGTAGCCGTTCGATCTGAGAGGCTTGTGTGTTTTACCCTAATTAACTTGAGGACGAGAAAAGTTTAGAACAAAAGAAACCTGCGCTGAACAAAGAGTTAGTGTTTGCGGAAGTGTTCATTGGAATTGTTAGAGTGGTTTGTTACTCCTCTGAATACATTAAATTAACAGAATTAAGTTTCGGTCGTGTGTTGGCAACAGATATTTTTTTTTCCGTACTACAGAAGAGAGTCACCTAGTATTCACTTGAATGAATTTTTAAAATTCCTGGTTTAAACTATGTTATTAAATTGCGTAAGAACTGTAACTTTGATGAGATAAAACCAATTGCAGATATGAAATCAGCAATGTAAAGTTATCTAAGATCTGTTAAAAAATCACATGCAACAGAAAAAAAAGCGCTCTTCCCAAGAGTTTATGACTTGCTTTTAGCAGTTACTACTATCAATAAAACATTTCATCATCGACCATACAAGTTAGCAGCTATGAAAGGGTTAAACTTCACTCACCTTTAACTATATTCGAAGTGAGAACTTCCAGCACTTCAATGGATGATATCGAAGCTAATTGATTTCCTGTTATCATGCAAAATAAATCGGCTGTGTAGTAATTCTTACGAATGTTTATTGGTCTGTAGCACTTAGACTCATAACTGATCCAATTTTCGTGGCAGAAAGCTCCTGAAAAAAAATAACAAATTTAAAAATAAAATTATGTATA